ACATAGAAACTCTGTTCCAAAACATAGTCATGTGCCTGCACAGGCATCATTTAAGGGTTCATAGGATTCTTGCGGCATGAAGGCAGTTCCAGAAGGTAGGCAGTGTGAAAAGGATTTCAGTCAGCAGAAAACAGACAGCATGGTTTTGGAACAGATCCTGTTTCATCTAGTTTTCCTGCCATGTGAATCTTTCCATTTGTGAGCAGGCAGCAGGCGTGTGTTTGGATCGGTGTTGGAGAAGATGGTCTGTGTTCTGCTGGATGTGTCTGGATCTATGGCTCCCTGCCTCCCTGAGCTCCAGAAGGAGCTGACTTTACTGATCTGGGATCAGCTGCATGCCAACAGCGTGAGGTAAACTCTTTTTTGCTCTAGAGGGAGATATACAAGTCTTTTACATACTCACATACCCGTCTTCCATTGGTTGGTCAAACAGGCCCAAGCTCACACCATACCTGTAGGATGAGGAAATGTGGCTGTTTCCCCAGAATAATACACTCAAAAGCTCAGCAGCATGGTTTGTGACGTGCTGAATTTGGGTCTGTTGACAGGTGTCTCAGTGACTGATCTGTGTGTGTGCGTCAGGTTTAATATGCTGGCGTTCTCTGGAGAGGTGCGGATGTGGCAGCCGGCGTTGGTTCAGTCCACAGAGGAGCTGTGTGTGGAGGCAGTGCAGTGGTTGAATCAGCTCAGCACACATGGAGCTTCCTCCACACTACAAGCACTGCAGGTACTCCGGCAACAATACTCACAAGAACTACTTTTGTATGTACCGTTATTACACTTAGCTTTATGGAAAAACATAGCCCTCTTCTCTGCACTCAGTTCTTCTTGTGTTTGTAAGTGTGACTGTGTGTCGTGCATCTTTGCTCCAGACAGGCTGTGGCTTTGCAGATGCTGTTGGTCTGTATCTGATCACTGATGGGAGATGTGACTCCAGCCACAGTCGGATACTGACAGAGATTGAGACACTGAGACAAGAGAAGGACTTCACCGTCCACACCATCGCAGTCAACTGCCATGACAGGTTAACCTGCATTGGATATGAATGTGGCCAATTGTATCGATCCTTCGTCAAGATTATTTAGTATTTATTCTGGCATTTTTTTGTTTGGTCCCATCACAGAAAATCTAACTTTAGCAACATATTTTATATGTTTAATTGCAATCGTTTTTAAACAGAGCATGCAGTGAGTTTCTGAAGAGTCTGGCCCATAAAACAGGAGGACGATTCCATCAGGCTCCTGAAAACACAGATAGAGCTCTTATCAGAAAACTCCTGTCAGATCCGTGCAGTGCGGTATGTACATGCTGACTAGTGGTGATTTCAAAGAGAAGGGCTCAACATTTCTTAAATACAATTATAGTGCATGAGGATTATTTTGAATTGGTTTGTAGTTTTCAACCTGTTCAAATGCATTTCTGCAGACTCATTGTTATGAAGTGATGTGCTGATTCTTGTGTGTCCTGAAACAAAGGACCCAGTGCTTCCAAAATGTGAGGGGGATGATCTAAGGAAACTATCCGAAGAGATCGAGAAGCTGAGATTGTTCCAGAAACAAGCTAAAGCGTTCAGGTTTGTGTTCACTCAGTGCTTATGCTGTGATACACAGGCCTAGTGTCGATTGGTGTTATTGTAGACTTTTTAATATGGTGATTTGTGTTTTGTTTTCGTAGGGAAACTAGTTTGGAGTCGAGGAACCAGAAGGGAACATAGACATTGATCTCCACGCTTGTTCAAATCACGACAGCTTTATTGATTCAAAAATATCTCTGGCAAAGGCCTACATAAGGCCTAATGTAAAAGAATTTGTTAATAATTAAATATGGCTTAATAATACTTTGGAAACATCGTAAATAGATATAAAAATCATGGTTAAAAGAAAAAAAACTTTGTTTAAACCTTGAAATTTTATGTGTAGCATTAAAGCCCCGTTCACACCAAGAACGATAACTATAAAGATAACCATAAAGATAACGATATTAGCGTCCACACCAGCGAACGATATCGTCTGTTTATTCTAAGCGGAGTCTGCCACTTTAAATTCTTGAGCTCGTTACAGCAGGATGGATTCTGATTGGCTGTCAATTTTTTATCGTTCATCAGCTGGAGAAAAATCGTTTTGAAAGTGATTCCAACGATATCGTTTCTCTTTGTCTTTATCGTTATAGTTGTAGTGTGGACTCTGCTATTCTTTAATATTGAGAACGATTTTTAGAACTATATCTTTATCGTTATCTTTATAGTTATCGTCCTTGGTGTGAACGGGCCTTAACTCCTTAGCATTCTGGGAAAATGTAACTAAGCACAAAATTGGAACGCTAACAGGTTAAATGTTTTTTCTTCTTCAAATTGTACTTCATGAGCAACAAAAAAAAAGTGTAAAAACAAATGTATTGTCAATATATGTGCAATGTAGCATCAAAACAGTGGGGTGGGGTTGGGGGGGGGGGCAACTAATCTGTATTATTGAAAAATATATGAGGAAAAATAAATTATATAAAATAGATACATTTAAATATATGCAAAATACATTTAACTGAATATATTTTGAATATATATTGCCAATATATTTTATTGATATACTATATTTTAAACGTAATGTATGTCTTTTTGTGTGAACGTTTGTTAAAAGACAATTTTCTGTCCTTTTACAGGATAAACAATAAAGCTGTTTGAATTCGAATTTGAAAATTCCACCGCTTACATGACGTCACAAATATTTCGAACGCTTCAAAGAAACGCTCGTCAGTGTGACGTCACTGGGCCTGGCTATAAATACTGGGCGTTTCTTCATCATGAGAGCAGCGCTGGTTACACTTAGGTTCCGGGGTTCACGTGCCCACCCTGGGTTTATAGGCGAGGCGGCCTGAATGCTTTAGTTTAGATCAGACTGAGGGTGGGATGGATGGGTTTAGCGTCAGGGACCCCCAGGGCATCTCATGAAGCTACAGTAGAAGGAGGGCAAAGCCTGCAATGTGGGTGGGTGGGGAGCAGGGGGCGCCCTAGATCATAACCATCTTTAATACTGTGTTTCCAAAGATAGACTCAGCATCACTCTTCACACTTCACATTACACGTCTCACACAACAAAGTACCAGAAAGTATCATAGTATTAGAATTTTCTACACTCTTCACACTTCACATTACACATGTCATAACAAAATACCAAACAGTAGGCTTCCATATTATCATGGCGTTTTGGACATGAACCAGAGTACCATATAATGTACAAGAATTCCGTATCATTCTATCATATCTGTAGCATTTCATTTAAAATGATCATAAGATAAAGATAAAGTTGGGTTCACGTGCCCACCCTGGGTTTATAGGCGAGGCGGCCTTAATGCTTTAGTTTAGATCAGACTGAGGGTGGGATGGATGGGTTTAGCGTCAGGGACCCCCAGGGCATCTCTTGAAGCTACAGTAGAAGGAGGGCAAAGCCTGCAATGTGGGTGGGTGGGGAGCAGGGGGCGCCCTAGATCATAACCATCTTTAATACTGTGTTTCCAAAGATAGACTCAGCATCACTCTTCACACTTCACATTACACGTCTCACACAACAAAGTACCAGAAAGTATCATAGTATTAGAATTTTCTACACTCTTCACACTTCACATTACACATGTCATAACAAAATACCAAACAGTAGGCTTCCATATTATCATGGCGTTTTGGACATGAACCAGAGTACCATATAATGTACAAGAATTCCGTATCATTCTATCATATCTGTAGCATTTCATTTAAAATGATCATAAGATAAAGATAAAGTTGTGTTAAATGCTCGGTATAAATATAGCTACATTTTTATTACAGAAATAGAAATGCACTGATTTCAATCATCAGTGAAGACGCCATGAGCCAGAGAAAGAGGTCTTTTTTTCAAACGTTTTTAATATTCAGTGATGAAAAGTTATTTAGTGTATTAGTTTGAAAAATGCAGCATATTCTATGGTCTGTCTATTGTAAGATTGCTTTTTATTCAATGTATCGGTCACATACAGGTATAACTAAGACTGAACAGTAGTTAGCCTAGTTTTAATTAGTTTATCTTGATGTTAATTTGAAGAGTTCATTTGCAAAGACCGATAACTAAATCCCCCCCCCCCCCCGTTGTTGATTAAGTAATAATAACTTAAAC